ATTATTATTATTATTATTATTCATGTGTTTGCACGTTCCCACATTTTGGAGAACGAGTGGAAGTAATTTTATTCAGATCTCTAGTACGCCATTACTTTTATTGACTCCCCACAATACTATGTGTGACCAAAAATTCCCCGATCAACGATTCTTTGATCCAACAAAATTATGTGTGAACAACCATTCTATGATCAACGAAACTTTGATCCATCAATAGTATGTGTGAACAACCATTTTTGATATTAACTCAAGCGACCAGTCTGTTCTAGAATTTAAACCATCACTGGGGTGAAGAGGTGGCTCTATACTATTCCCAATGTTTTTTGTGTGTAAGTTAATGTAAAACTAGAATTCGAACTCGGATCTCCGATTTCTCATTCCGAACCGCTATCAATTATACCGCCTGGGCATTTCGCGTAGTTTAAATAGTAGAGCATACAGGGCTGTTCAGTCTTATTTGAAAACCAGTATAAGAGACGGACAACTCTGTATTCAAAAACCGTATGAAATCCTTGCAGATAATGAAAGGATTATGGAGTTCATGATGACTCTGTAGTCCAGACGACGGTATGAATAATAATAATAATGATAATAATACAAAAAATTGTTCTCATGAATACAAACCACACCTTACGAAGGGCTTTATCTATGTATTTTTTTTTTTTGTCAGTGGAAAATGTCACGATGCCATTTCTAACCTTAGATCTCTGTGTGGGACCCGGAAAGAAATGTTTACACACCAGAAATCAAAGGAATAATAATAATAATAATAATAATAATAATAATAATAATAATAATAATAGTAATAATAATAATGAAATCGAAATCTCAAAAATAATGAAAATGAAATCTCAAAATTAATGAAATCGAAATCTCAAAAATGTGGCACATGGGAACATCAACAATCCCTGTTCTAGTTGGAGCCCTAGGATTGGTTGGAAAAGATTCCAGTAGACTAATTGAAGCGATTCCTGGAAGCCCATGCCTCAAAGAAATACAAAAAATTGTTCTCACAAGTACAGCCCACACTTTACGAAGGGCTTCATTTATGTAAAATATGTGTTTTTGGGTGTTTTTTTTTTAGCTTTTTTTATTTTTGTCAGTAAAAAGTGTCCTGGTGCCATTTCTAACCTTAAGTCTATGGGCGGGACCCGGAAAGAAATGTGTACACGCCAGAAATCAAAGGAAATAAAAACAATAATAATAATATGAAGTGGGCCAACTGAAAACACATCAGTGGCTGAGATGTAAATTGCTGAAAGCTGAAACAGAAGGCCTAATTATTGCTGCTCAGGACCAAAGCCTCACAACCAGATCTTATCATATCATCCAAAAAATAGGATCTGCGAAAAATATAATGAAACTGGCGACCATATTCTCTCAGGAGGTCCGAAACCAGCAAAAAATTAATTTTCCCACAGACATAAAAATGTAGCGACATATGTATACAGGAAGATGTGCAAGAAGCACAAAATCGAAACCACTGAGAGATGCTATGCGTACCAACCAGACACAGTTATCCAAAATAAACGATGTAACTATACTCTGGGACATGTCAATTCAAACTGACAAGGAAATAAAAACCAACAGACATGATTTTGTCATAAAAGACAAGAAATTCATGAAGTGTATGCTTATTTACATAACAGTATCATCTGAAAGAAACTGCTCCATAAAAAAAACTATTGAGAAATTGTTCAAATACAAAAACCTGAAGATCGAGATTAACACGATGTGGGGAGTGAAGGCAGAAACGGAGAATCGGAGCTCTGGGCCTCGTGAGAAAAAGAATGACAGTTTTACTCAGTGTCGCAGCTAACACCAGCATACAAGTAACCTAGAGTATCATCCTACTAGGAAAATCCAGTATACTAAGAAAATGGCAATTCTCCTATAGAGCCTAAGGTCTATAGTTTGGACCCGGCTTTACAGGATACAAAACAGGAAACATAAAATAAACACATGATAATAATAATAATAATATAAAACTCGGCATGATAGAGTGGAACAATATTTGCAGTAGAAAATGTGCAACATTTACGGGAAAGAAACTGTAAGACGCTGGTATGAACATCACCCAGACCTGGTTATAGAGACTGGATCTGTAACAATTTTATGGGGCCTTACAATACATACAGACAAAACAATCAAATCTAATTGCCCAGAGATTGTGATAAAAGATCATAAGGACAAAATGCCCTTTCTTATTGATATGATAGTCCCTGCAGATTGTAATGCATCTCTGAAGATCTACAAAAAAACTATCAAAATACAAGAATCTTGAAGTGGAAATCTCAAAAATGTAGCACATGAGGACATTAATAATTCCATATGTAGTTGGAGCTCTCGGATCGATTGGAAAAATTTTGATAGACTCATTCTAGGTAACTCCACTTTTTCACGGATAAAAACAGCATGATGTAAAAGTACCCAACCTCAATAAAAACTAATTTTTGTCATCAAAATGTTTATGTTATTTTTAAGAGTAAAGACTAAATTATTTTTTTAATATTTAAAAAAAAAAAAATTATCCTTTGTAGCACCTGGGAAATTTTGGTTAAAAATCTTGTTTTGTTTACGTCAGCGGCCGAACCAATAATAAAGGTTAAGTTTTTTGGCGCGTTTTCCGGTGAAACACACATTAATTTGAAAATTCTTGCAAAAATCAAATAATTGTCGGATTTTAATAAAACTTTCAGGACATATTCAAAAATAAATGAAATTACTTTTTAAAATGTTTTTAGAAAATCTTGGTAAAAAATATTTTTTTTACATATGTTACCACCTACTTACTTAATTTCATGAAATTTCGAGAAATTAAATTTTTAAGGCAGGGAATTTTTATTAGTTAAAAGCAGGGCTCCTTGGAGAATGTGAATTATCAAGTGTTTCGTAAAACAGGCCTTTCACCGAAAATCTGCTCTGAATTTTAAAATAAAAAATTCAATAAAACTATGATATTACTTAATTAGAAAATCTTTCAATTGCTTTGATAAATAAGATTTATTAAGAACACTATTGTCTTAAGGAGAAATTTTTTTTGATGAATAGTTAATTTTTACAAGAATTGTTTTCATTTTTTTTTTTTTAAATTTAACTAAGCAATTTATAATATTAGAAAATCGTTTAATATATTTCATTGCTTTCAAGACGACGGATCAAGGATATTGTTAAGTGAAACATTTACGAATCAAAAATTGGAATGTTTATAAGTGTCATTTCAAAAAATTTAAAAAATAATGATTTTTAGTGTATAAACATTACTAATATTATCTATGGGAAGCTATACATGACATAATTCCTAAAAAGTTGTCATGATTTAAATGTCGTCTGCCGCACTGGAATTTTTTAAATTATTCATCATTAACGTCTTCGCAAATCATCCCTTTAAAATTTCAAAGTAAGTTTTAATTTTTTTAAATTACTATTTCACTAAATATTTTTATTTTATGCATTTATTTTAGTTTGGGTCATACGTCAGTTAATTAATTTTTTGTTTAAGTTAGTAAACTTAAGAACCTAGAGACGAAACACAAGTTTCATAAAGCATCTTGAAATGTAACTAAAAGTCAATAAGATATTAAATAATTGCTGAAAATATGATACTTTCTAAAACTTACTAGATAGTTAACAACTAAAAAGAATGCGTTAACTTTCATTTCGTAAATTTATGCCAATTCTGGTTATCCATAACTTATCGATACGTCAATAAAGATAACAAAAACAAGACCCATCGTTAAGAAATGCTTGTATATTACATTCTTATTCTATAAGCAAGCAATATTTATTTCAAATCAGATTAATTTAACTTTACATTTTCTAATTTTACGCAAATAAAGTGTCAGAAATATATATGTTAATTTTGGAAGATTTTTAAAACCGATAATTTTGTATTGTTTACAAATTTCTTAAAAATACGAAAATGGCCGCTTTTAATTTTTTTTTTAAATCGAGCGAATATTTGACATTTTAAAATATATAATTCCAATCTGAAATACACCAGAATATTTTACTTACTGGATATAATAATTTAACAATTTATCTTTCAATTAAAACTAAAATGAAATCTTCAAGAATGCCTTTTCGTTTTTAAAAATTCATTTTAAATCTTAGGTGGAGGTACCTACATTAAAAGGGATTTCTGGGAACCCAAGACTGAAAAGAAAAATAGAAGAAATTGTATCCACAAGTAAAGCTCACAGATTACGAAGAGATTTATCTATGTAAAATGTAGGTGGCCTTAGGTTTTCCTTTTTTCTTTTCTCTTTTGTAAAAATGCTCAGTGGAAAATGTCATGAAGCCATTTCTGACGTTAGGTTTCTGGTGGGGACACGGAAGAAAATGAATATAGAAGAGAAATCAAAGAAGAAATAATAATGATATTCAAGAAGACGGTACTGAAAGAGAAGGTATAAGCTAGAGAGCCAATGACACCTCATAAACAGTTTGAAAGCGAAAACGGAGGCCATTAAGACAGGGTTCATTAGATTGGTTGATAGAAAGTGAATTGAAACTCGAGATAGAAAATATACTGGAAGCACCTTCTAACAGGTCCTGAATATGCATTCTATCTGAAAAAAAATCTGCAATGAAGAAATAGGAAGATGTGGAGAGCCATGATCACACACGTTCTGAAGCTGCACGACACAGAAACAAAAAAGTAATCTTTATGCATCTATTGTTAAATATTTTGATATTTCTGTGCTGTAATTTGTTGAAGGTCTAAAACCGCCGAGAATGGACAAATAAATAAAGTGCCTACGTTATATGATTAATTATAAATGTTTGCATGAAAGCATCGTAGTAATTTCTTTGTGTTGTAATAGGAATGTATGTGTAGCCTTGTTCAACGCCCAACGCGTCGGGATACTGATTTGTGTAAATGTAAACTAGCCAAGTAATATTCCTACCCGAAATGTGTTTAGAGATTTATTTGAAGTACAACTTTTTAATTTACAAATCTAATCATTTCAATTTCAGATTTCCGGCTTCCTTTGAAATCAGATTTCAATATTGCCAACATGCTTTGGCCATATGGGTAGGAGAAAGAAAAGAAAGAAAGAAAGAAAGAAAGAAAGAGAGAGAGAAGAGAGTGTGTTAAATAGAGAGAAGTATAAAGAGACTGTAAAGGAATAAAGGATAAAGTTGAAAGAACGACGAAAGAAAAGATTGACATAAAAGAAAGGGAGGAAGCAAGACGAAAATTTGAAATCTGAGAGAGGGAGAGGGAGAGAGAGGAGGAGGATAGGTGGGGGTGTAAGGAAGAAATATGAAAAGAATAGACAAGTATTGACAATGAAAGAAGGGAGAGACGAATTAGAAACACAAATGAAAGATTGAGAGGGGGTTGCGAAAGAGAAACAGAGAGAGAGAGAGAGAGAGAGAGAGAAAGAGGGGGGGGGTAAAAAAGAAAAACAAATACGAGTGAGTTTGGGAAAAGAACAGACAGAAATGAAAAGACGCCTGGGGAGAGAACAGAAAATATGAGGATAAATGATGAAGGGAGAGAGAATCAAAATGGGCAGACAGAAATGACTTAGGAGAGACTCTGTGTGTGTGTGTGTGTGTGTGTGTGTGTGTGTGTGTGTGTGTGTGTGTGTGTGTGTGTGAGAGAGAGAGAGTGATATGAATAAAGGAATGAGAGGGTGAAGAACGAGGTGGAAATGATGTCGACTGACAGGGAATTGACGTATAGGGAGATTGTTAAGATAAAAATAAATACAGAGGATTGATGATGAAAGGAGATTGAAAGGAGACAGAATAAAGATTAGGAGAAATACGAAAAATTAAAATAAAAAAGGAAGCATTTATAGCAAAGACGCGGGGCCCAATGGATAAAAGCTTTGATTGAAGTAATTCATAAAGTGCGTTGACACAAAGATTTGTGAGTTCAATACCTAGCCACAGCAGAGGGAACAAAAACTTGGAAAGCTGAGTTTGGTGATGAAGGAAAGAGAAGAAAGACCTGAAAAAGAAGAGACACATTGGAAAAGGTTGGCAGGGAGACGTAGAGAGAAGAGGAGAGACGAAATTGTTGAGGGAACAGAAAAAAAGGAGAGAGAATTGATGATGAATAGAAAGAGAAACCAAAGAAGAAAGTCGTGAAAGAAGGAGTGACACATTGGAAACGGTTAGCATGAAGACAGATTAAAAATGAGAGAAGTAAAAGAAACTAGAAGAAAATTATAAGATGGATAATTGAGAGAAAAAGAAAGAATAAAAACGAAATGGGAGTGGAGGCTAAGTTAATATACATTTTCTGTACAAATGATTTGAATCCAAATAACTGATATTATTATTATTATTATTATTATTATTATTATTATTATTATTATTATTATTATTATTTCTTCGCTGCCAAGTCTATTAAGAGGGCGTTTCTTCATTAGCAATGGCAGGTGGACCAATCTCCCGATATTAGTTGTCTTTAAGTTGTTATTAGCTGATTGAGGGAATAGTTCCCTCGTGTTAGTCATGTGAATGTTTGGACGCCATTAATCAAAGACAGGAAATATATGTGATCAAATAGCACTTGTTCTGCTACCCACGTCGCGGCCTTTTTTTTCTTTGTAGATAATGTTATTTACTTACTTTGATCAGATCTGCATTCTCTTTCTCTCTCAGGAATGTTTCGCTCTCATTAATGATGTTAAATATCAACAATTAATCTCGTCAAATTAGAATCCAGGTACACAACTTAACCAGGAAACCATTTTTGTCTAACAATCTCCAGTTACTTGCTTGTCTCTGCGTAAGCTCTCCTAGAATATTTTTCTTTTTCCGCTTACACGAAAAGAAATCGTGGGAGTCCGAAAAAAAATTACGATTCTGTGTGAATGGTTAATTTAATTTTTTTTTAATAAACAACAATAAAGTGTATATCATTATAAAAGCCGCTTCCTCTTTGCAAACAAAAAAATAAAAAATAAATAAACAATCAATATTTTTATTTGGTTAACTAGGAAACAATTTTAGGTTAGGTTTATATAGTGTTACTTAGTTTTATGACATATCAACTTCAATGAGTAATTTAATGCGGAAAAGATTTTTAGAATAGACTCGTATGAGTACAATATGTATTCTTTGAAAGAAATCAGTTTGGAGACCATGTTTTATTGACGTATTTTTGTAAAGAGTTGTTTTATCGGGAGTCAAATATATTGTTTGATAATTTTTTTTTTTAAATGTATTTTTGGTAATATACATTATTTTTAATGTGTTTCTGGCATTTTTACTATAAAAAATGCATTTTTATATTTTCATAGTATTTTCACCACATTTTAGGGGTTAACTATTTGCTCATAGCTGAGACCCTAACAGGTGCTACAACACCGAATCAGGGTGGACCTAGGAACAAAAGCAGTTAAAGAGCTGGTTCCACTTTCCTCAAAACCTCACACTTACAGGTTTGTAACAATTTTAACTAAACGGAGTAGATTTATAAGCAATTTGTGTTTGATTTTAACATTCCCAAGACTTCCCCAGTCACCAGCTTGGAATGTTATAGAAAATACTTCTCCAGATTTCAAAAGTGTAGACGGTTCGCAAGACGCCCGGTTATCCCACCTCTCCGGTCTTTTGAATAGGGGTAGAGGCTCATCTACAGTTTTTTTTATTTATTTTTCCTCAATAGGAGTAGATAGGTTCTCCTATCGTCGGGTTCACACTCCTCTACGATCTTTTGAACAAGTGTAAAGATTTATTCCTTGTTTCCTGTTTTTAGATAGATTTTCCGGTTCCTTCTAAAGTCTACTTCAACTATATACTTCTGACGTTTCCGCCTAAACTCTATTTATTTCTATTCCATTTTTTTTATTTTTTATTTTTTTAAAAATGTAAATAGGTTTCCCTATCGCCCTGTTCACACACCTCAGTACATTTACTCGTTGTTTCCTGTTTAGGATTGGGTTTCCGGTTCTTTCTAACGTCTTTTCATTCCCTTTCACTCCAAGTAGAATCTTGCGCGTTCGCGGCAATATCGCCTTGCTTGTAGTAAATTGATAAGAAAAATTAAATGAGCTCTTTTATGATGGCGACAAGATTCTTGGCAGGATTGAGATCAAATGAATTTGCTGGCGACCGGACAAATATACCTCTTAAGTAGTAATCCAGTTTTTTCATCAACAGTTCTGAATGCGGTATATGCAAGTGGTTTCTTCAACAATGATCCTGATTTCAAACTCCATAGAAAACAATAAACATTCATGTTTGCATAAAAAATGCCATGAATATCCAAGACCTTGTGAAAGACTCTTATGAACATTTGGTTTCGTTAATATAATATGTACGGTACTTTCTGAACGAAATATTTGTTTACTAAAAAAGAAAATTGGTTTTATTATTTAATCATAAAGCATTTAAATTTCTGAGGCCAAAAAATTTGATTGTAATTTTTTTAATAAGTTTTCCGTCCAACGTATGCGAAGATATGAATGATTTATTTTAATTAGTTTCCGTAGTCTAATTTGCCCCGGGCAGTGATGTGAGAAAAGGAGTGAAACCAGTTTAACTGATGATAATCCGTTTCTCATTCAAGACAAAATTGATAACTATATTATCAATTGAAACGCACACCAAGATTTAGACACTGCTTTTGTTGTTTCTTTTTTTATCTTTTTGTCCAAATCAGAACCATTTTCTTTTAATAATTTCTTTTAATCAGGCAATACGGTAAGAGCCACTAGAATGCAAGGGATTAATGAAAGGGAAAGAAACTGACAGAGAACAATAAAAGAATTGATTTCAAGGAGGAAAAAAATGGCAATTGACATTGCATTTAAATTTTGAAAATCATAGTTGAAAGGGAAGCAAGAAGCCGGACGAATGTCCAACAAGCAAGAAGCGCGCGAGAAGAAACTAGTAGCAGATAACTTACGGTAAAAATTAAACATTTGATGAGCAAAATTATGAGACCTACTTGCCAATCTAGTACTGCGTTTAAATTCCTGAAGTCGAAGTACCAAGGAGGGAAAAACATCAGAACAGTTACCGTAAACATAGTTTGTAGAAAAGTCAAAAGGAAACCACGATACGGTTCTTGGGAAAGTAACTGAAGCCAAGATGTTAGGTCAGGGCCAATGACGTTGCAGATTCTTTTTGATAACATTTTTACGTAGTTCAACCAGCGAAATGAGGCACTGACAGTATAGCACCATCTTGACGTTTTGCTTTGCCCTAAGCTGATGACCGGGTTGACTGTAGATATATGTCTATTCTTAGACTTAACTGTGTAATTGTCCTGACTTGATCGATTCACCAGATTTAGGTTTACTTGCAATAATTTCATAGCATTATTTTAAGTTTTAAATTAGTATAAGTTCCTATATCCTCCCCAGTCTCGAGCTGTTTTTTTCTTCCTTCCTTCTTTCACTCCGACAGAACTGAGCGATGATTTTGAAGGGGTAAATATGCCTTATGAAATCGTCTTAATTATTTTTAACATCGCTCATCGGCTTTTTAACTCGTCAGGAAAACTTTGAAACAAGAAAGTTAAATAACTTTAATCTAAAAATATTATACCTAATATACGTACCCAAAAACATAGGCATAGTATAGAAAAGTTGATTTTGTAAATTAATCTTTAAATGACCGGCATCGTCAAATTCCATTTCAATGGAGATCGGGGATACAATTAATTGACGATTTAAACCTTATTCCAACAATACAAGCATCGTACATTCATGGTTAGCATTTAAATGACTAAGTGACATCTCTAGGATTCATTAGGTTAATTTTTATTCTGGAGTATGTGTCTGCAAATAAACCTGGAAGAACAAGCCAAAGACTATGTCTGCATATATTCCCGAAGAGAAAAAAGGTGAAAAATGATGGCAACTTGTAATAATTTCATAGCTTTATTTAAAGTTTTAAATTAGTATAAGTTCCTGTATCCGCAATAGTCTCGAGATGATGTTTCTTCCTTCCTTCTTTCACTCCGGCAGAACTAAGCGATGATTTTGAAGAGGTAAACATGACTTTTAAACCTGGAAGAACAAGTTAAAGACAGTGCTATATATGCACGTATTATTCTCGAAGAGAAAAAAGGTGAAAAATGATGGCACAATTCCATTTTGCGTGGAATACTTCGAGTAAATAAAACGTGTTTAAACATTTTGCATGCATGGAAAAGTGGAAATCTCATCGAAACACTTTAGCTTTATACTTATTTGATTTCATGAATGTCCTAAGCAGAGTTGTCAAGTTTCATGGATGACCGATCAAGAAACAGACGCTCTTGTCCAGCGCTCGAGGCCTTATGCCGATTGTAATATGGAGACTCTTTTCCGAAAACAGGCTTTTGGGAGGTGATTAGGAAATTTATCCGCATCAAAGCCAACTTAAAATAGATCCATTGTTATACGGTAGAAAATTTACTCATGCATTTGCACAGAGAAAAGCCGCATGTTTATCAGCATTTTTTATTTTATTTTATTTACATCAGTCAGTTATGTGCCATGCATGAAACACGCTTAGTCGATCATTTATCTTTCTATACATGACTGACGAGGCAGATTTTTTTTTCCCGCAGTAGGTTGCTATTTCTTTCTGCGGTAAAGTAGTAGCCATCCCAAGCTATAGAACCCAGTATGTCCTGTTATTTACCCATTTACTGGGGTGGGAGAGAAAAAGAGGATTCATACCTTTCCCAAGAGTATTAACACGTAAGTGAATGTAATGGATTCGACTGGAATTCGAAATCGGTTCTCCAATTTTTCAATCCGAGCTACTATCCATTACGTCACCCTACCTCCGATATTTATATATTATCACGAATAAAACCTACGCCTACTGGAATTGCAAGCAATATGTAAACGTTTACGCCTTACTACCTAAGTTAGTAAGCATTCCAACCAACTCTCAACATCTGTTTAGCAAGGATTGAGATAATTTTATTTTTATTTTAATGTCTGCGTTTAGTTTGGTTGAATAGAATGTATATTGGCTTTAATTTATAGTCATCTTTTCGTTGCAGTAATTGATTTTAATATGCATACAACCGGTAATTAAAAATAAAGTTTTGGATCTGCTCTCGGAAAAAAAAATACAAAAAAAAACAAAAAACAATACAGTTACGTTGAGCATTTTAGCCGGTAATTTCTCTGCATAAAAATATTTAATTCTATTCACTAAATAGTTAT